GACTCCCTTGGAACATAATGTCAAAATCACTGTTCTAAGTTACATCTTTTAGGCAAGAAACCTGTTAAATATAGTTTTATAGGCAGAGTTATAGTGACAACTGTAAATCGTTCATGTATCTACTAGAATTTGTTTAAATATTCAGGTTCATTCAGAAGACCAAGGTATAGCAAATGTTACTCCATGAAGCTTTAAAAACAGGCTTTTAAAATAAAAGTGCAGCAATTAAACATTGCCTAGACAGCAACGCTTAAAAAGGCATCAGTCATTCATTGCTAACTGTTCTCCATTAGCAAGATTACAGCGGATTCTATGGCATTAGGTGTACTTAAGCCACTGTCTGTTGCTCAGAGTGTGCTGAACCTGCCATTTTGAAAGAGAGCAAGATATCATTCAAGCATAATGTACAGACAAAGGACTATGATCCCTGTTCTATTTTTATTTTGGGGGAAGGGGTGTTTTTTGCAGAGGAAAGTGGGTGATGTTCAACTAGAACTGGGGCACAAAAACAGCTTGCAGGGTTCACTTCCAAACCAGCTCTCAAGAAGCTAACAGAATAGCACACAGGAGCTTAAACTGTTGCAGTGCAGACCAATCGAGGTGACAGAAGTGCTCAAAGCATGCCAACCCACAGAGTGACAACCGGGGAGCTACCCACCGGACACGGCATGTGTTTTGTGCCTTTGTTGTTTTAGCAGGAAGTGGAAGAAGAGATTTGCTTTGTATCAAGCTGTACCTCTAAGACAAAACTAGTGCACATCACAACATCGGTGGTGAAGCATGCTTTGTTGAAGGGGCCAGGAAAGGGAAGACACTGGAACACTTTATAAGTGGAGAAATGAGAGACAGCGGTGCAAAAATTCATTTTTGCAATGGGAAAAGAACTGGGAGAATCCGTGAGAAAAATGATAAAAGAATTAGCAGTCAGGAAATGAGAGGAACACTTCAGAAGGAAAATCAGTGTGGGGTTTTCTCTCCTGTCTTCCCACCAGTCCACCGACTAATATCCCAGGGTACTTGGCAACTAAAGTTGTCTGGTCTCCTCTGCCCAGCACTATTTCAAGCCCTTTTTCACCCACCACAGCTTTTTTTTTTTTTTTTTTTACTTCCACAACTTTTTTTTGGTGTCAGATCGCCTCTTGCATGTTCTGCCCAAGCAGCACACTGGAGGGGCTATCACTGCTTTGCCACCATCTTTAATTTTCTTCTTTGTGACTAATACATCCAACAATAGGTTTGTCATTTTTGTTGTTTACATTTTTTCTAGGTGAGTTTCTACAAGGGCTTTCGGATAGGGAAATGTATACATGCAAATATATAAATATATATTTATGTGTGTGTCCCTGCAATCCTAACTAGCCCTGTGAAACATCCATTTTAAAAGGAAGCCTGAGTTTTTGACAGCGAGCTCTCAAAACTGTGCTCTCTTAAGAAGGGAATGGTTTGTACTTTTCTAACCTTCCTGAGCATCTGGAATCTTCAGAAAGGGTAGAAAAGATGTAGGACACTGAGAAGAGTAGGGTAGCACCAAGAAAAGCCTAAGATGATCTTATCACAATGTGGTGATCTACCGGCCAGCCCTTCTGTAAGCTTCTATCCCTCATGGCTTTGTTTTCCCTTGATAGCTTACTTTTTGACAGCTATTACAAGAAAGAGATGGGGGGGGTAGGGAGCACAGACAAGTACAAACGCCTCTTTGCAGCCTGTCTGGGTCAGTGTTCATGGTGGGCGCTTGTTGCCCTTGGACTGTAGGCACCTCCCAAGACATTGCCAAAGCTAGGCTGCCTATTTCACACACGTGGAAGCATACACTTACCCAAGACTAATTACAATTTTTAAAAAACACTACAAAAATGGTTTCTACAAATTTGGGGTGTATGTTTTAAAGAAGCAACCAGCCAGTGCCTTGTTGGCAGGGTGAACAAGATGTGCAAACCTACACAACTGAATTACAGCCTCATCTGCATATCCTTAGACTGTAAGCCTGAGAATCAGTCCCACTGAGTACAATGGGACTTCTGAGAAACGCACAGCACACTCTATTAGAGCTGTTTTCTGCAAAGGAAGATGACAGTACTTCCCACATATCACTAGCTATCTTCATAGATTATTTTCTTGTCTTGTACCTATTTAAATTTATGTAGGGATATGATAACTCAACACTTTCTGTCAAAGAAAACCATTCTTGCAGAGGTCACCTTCTGCAAAAGGTCTGGGCGTACATGTAGCCAGTATTGACTGTAAACCTTCAGACCTTTGTGAAGTAAAGCAAAGATAAACAATCATATTAAAGTTCTTAACTCTGTCTCTTGTCTTGGCTCTTGTGCACATCAAAAAACTTATCCAAATACACATTTCAAGAAGTAGAGATCTGACAGTTGAATCTCACATTTCATAAGCAGACATCAAAATTATAAGACATCATCCTGTGAGTTACAGCAGACAAAACGTTCTTGAATAAATACATCCTATATTAGAATAACAGGAGCCAAAAAAAATTAAAGAGAAACTTGCCATGTTGTCAATATGCAAACATCTTGCTTTAGGCTGCCTAAACTAGAGAGAAATGCAGCAAGGGACCAAAAAAGTAAAAAGGACAAACTGGACTAGGCTAAAAACATTTTACAAGTTTCCTATGTACCTCAACAGATCCCTGTCAATTAAACACAAGGACTAGGTTTCCATGGCACAAGGGTGGTAAATAAGCCACAAAGGCTTATTAACAAACCTCACATGTGCTATCACATGCTGGCTCATCTCCCATATTTTTCTCATCCCATGTCATGGGTTGTCATGACAGTAGAACCCAGCAAGGGTGAGTGACTGGGGTGATCACCGAACTACCCAGAACCCACAGTTTCTTGTAGAGCTGCTGGGTGATTTCTTAAACACACCAGCCACTTACCCTTTCCAGATTCAGATATCATGACAACCTGTACCTGGTGAGCATAATTATGGAAATGAGCTGACTTGCACAAGGGTGATTAACAGCATCCTATTGTGCAAACCAAAACACTCTGTGCACAACAAAACTCTTCCCCTGAGTTCTGGAGTTCAATGTTTACATTAGAGGCAGCTTTACCCGAACACAAATGCCCAGAAAATTACTTCAAAAACCTCCGGGATCCCAAGGACCTACAATAGGATTTTTCTTGGAATGTTCAAGTTCATCACTAGTGGTCTATTAACTAAGCCCTTAAAGAGATATGTAGAGCCTGGTATAACTAAGAAAACACACCTCTGCTCTCAACACAAGGGCTTGATATTCCACAGATTTTCTCTCAGCACAAGGGCTTGATATTCCACAGATTTTTTAAAAATTTATATTGAAAACTCCGACCTCACAGTTCTATTTTTAAGAGAGTCTTTTGAATGTAAAAGAGTCCATGTCACCAGTACAGCTAATAAAAGGAGAATTGCATTCAAGTCACATACAGCTGCCTTTTAAAATTTCTAACTCTTATGTAAAGCAATGCTATTGAATGTACTGGGACATTGAAAACAATGCACAAGCAGAACTGACTGCTCATGCAACAAGAACTAGCAGTTCCTGAACAGCAAACCAGCAGCTCAGCTGAGCTCACAGAAGATGTACTGTTGATCTGGCCCATTCTGGGAATTGGTGTTCTTACTCAATTCTGTGTTTAAGAACTGTTCCTTCCTGTTGCACTAGCAATCCATCTTACTAGTGTGACAGAACCTGCAGAGGCTGAGCAGCAGCATTGGATACTGCCCCTGCCTCCCAAAGCAAGCCAGAGATATGGCAAAGACTCAACTCCCAACAGGAGAATTGAGCATTCTTCTTCACAGATATTCTTGCCTGACTTATCCACACAGGCCTTCTCTGTGAGATTCAGGCAGATTTCAAGCCATGTAATCACAAACACCTAAGTTTTACAGGTGCGCTCTGCATGGATCTGAGTTACGAGGATGGCATCTCTTTGCGTGTCAAGCACCTTCTGGTTGAGACAACTTTCACACAGGGAGAGCTAGTACATCCCTACTATGCAGCATGTTGCAATGTTAACATTTTATGACCGCATGGCTTTTTATTTACTTTACTAACCAGTATGCAAGCACTGACTATTAGATGCAGCCTATGTTTTGAAAGGGAAGGGTGGGGGAAGAATAGTTTCAGAAATATTAAAAGATACCACTGCCAATTTGCTCCAGGCACAACCCTGACCATAAAAGCACAATTAAAGCACCAACATTAAGCCACATGTTTCCCCTCACCAGTGCTTTACTAAAAGAAAGTCAACCAAGTGCACACTTTAGTGCCCAGTTCTCATTCCATCTGGAAAGGAAGCTGAGATGTGTAGTTAGCTGTGCTTTCATGAATCAAAAAAATCCTTCAACCTTGACGCTAAACACCTGCGATACAATCTCTTTTCTACAAATAAGGAAAGCCCTAATTAAATGTGGCTTAATGTCACTGCTGAAAACACAGTTCCTCAAGTGCAGATGGCTACTTAAGCCTACAGATTCAGTGTGAGGCATTCAAGCGTGGCCTCTGTTTATTCGTTTAGGAGAAAAGCCAGTAACTGAGGTCAGAACTTTAGAAGTTTAATAGCCAAAATGAGTGGGACTATGGAGCACTTTAGAAAAATCACTCTGGTTTATTAGTCTCTTAATAGTACAAGGAGCACGAGAATTGCCGTTTGCTAATCAGGAGCGCTTGCAAGGCACAACTGGGAAAGTCTTTTCCCAGCTACCCTACCATGTCAACATCACAGAGAAAGATCTGGCGATTTAGGCGCATGATGTTGGAAGTATCCCTGCTAAACGCTGTAACGTCAGAACACCCAAGTTTCACAGACGCAGAAAGCGCAAGCATACAGTGATATATGCAAGAGAACTTTCAAGAGCTGCAGTCACGGAAAACCATGCTAAAACGTTAACATAAACATATCCGATTTAGGAAACAGCCCCGTAATGAATGGAGTGCGGGGGTGGGGAGGTAGAGAGGTTTGCATTCGCTTCACACGCTGAATACCTACCAGATAATCCATGAACTGGGGTATCAACTGGGATTAGGCGTTAATAGGTCACAAGAGTAGTCTGCTTTTATCAAGCAGTCTCACGCTGGGTGAACGCGTCTAGTGGAGACCGATCAGGATAGCTCAGTAGGCGAGCCCCGACGTCCCAGCTCTTGCAGGCTCTCCGGAAAGGGCAATTTCAGGCAGCCCGAACTATGCAGCCGCTGTCGCTGGCAGGAAGCTTCCCGGGGGAAGGAGCAAGGGCGGGATCTCGGTTCAGGGATCTCGCTTTTGAGCAGGGCAAGGGATGGCTCTCCGAAGCTGTCACTTCAGCGCTGCTCGCCCTGCTCCGTCTCCGCCCACCCGAACCCAGCACGTTGCCCTCTTCGCACTGCCCCAGCAAGCACCCAGACCCGGTGGCAGCGCCGCCCCTGCAGCCGGACCAGGGAGACAGCGGAGAAGCAGACCAAAGCCCAGCCAGGCACCCGTGCAAGCCCGCTGCAGCAGCACCCGATGTTTCAGGAACAGGGAGAGTTTCCCCCGGAGCGTCACTGTCAGCTGATCACACACGTGAGAAGGAGAGCAAAAGCTCTTAAAGGGACAAGCACGCTTACGCGTCGTGCCAGCCTGCTATATTCCGGATTGGGGCGACGGGACCGAATTGGAAGGTGGATGGGAGGAGACGGAAGACCTGAGCTAAGTGGGTCGGGATGAGGAGGCGGGCGGAGGTGCAAGGTCGGCGTCAAAGGGCAGGTTAGAGTGGAGAAGGTTGCAGCCAGAGCAAGCTGGTGGCTCCTATGCCAGTGGGGCTCCTCATCCATTGCAGCTTTTCTTTTCAGCTTTCTCGAATGGGTGCCATGCAAGAGCAGCAGCAACACTGGTGCAGAAATGAACTGAGGATGCGGAGAGGAGAGCACAGGCAAAAACTGGAAAGGCATATGGACCCTGTAGTTGCTTAAAACTAGAAGGCACGCCGGTCGGTGGGAGGGAGATATAGCATGCAACGGAAGTTAGCTGCACAGGGCTGACAGAAAGGAAGGCATGACCCTCCGTACGAAGAAAGCGATCGTGGGGTACCTCACAGGAGAAGAGGAGCAGCCCGGTTTTATGCACGTCTAGCTGAACAGAACGTGCAAAGATCGGGCTGTAGGTATTAGCACACTTACGAAGAAGCGAATCCCAGTGCGCTCCGTTTCCCCACTTCTGAGAAGCAACATGGTTAAAACTGAGGTTCCCGGAGGACTGGGAGAACAAACTGCAAGATTAACGTCTAATTGGCAGCCTGAGTTTTCTATCCTACCTCTGTCATCTTCCACCAGCAGTACTTCTTCAAATAAATCTTTAGAAGGCCGCATGCCGGTAGGATGGTGGCATCGATTGACCTCCCCCATCATGTGCCCCGTTATACGGAGGATGTAGCAAAACGGAGGGAAACCTTCAGCGAAAACAGCATTCAGAGCTGACTTGGGAACACAAGAGCTGCTGGAGTACCAAAAAACCGAAAGCCGCGCCTAGAATCTCCCGCCGAGTCGCTGGAGAGGTCCCAAAATAGCCCTGCCTACCAAAAACAAATACATTCTCTCTCTCACACACACACACACGCGCCCGCACACACGTATCTATCGGATCATCTGCATGCCTTTCCACCAGTGAATCTAACCTGACTTTTCTTGCAATCCCTTGACACCACAACATGTGGATTAAACAGTCACTCTGGAGTTGAGCTGAAGGGGGTCCTTGAAAGAAAATTTACCTTTCAGGCTGTGATTGTAAGCATATTTACTGGAAAACTAAACTCACTGGGAGTTAGTCCTCAATACTGTATACATATTTGAGCTCTAGCTGCCTTGTTTTCTGTGCCCTGCTGGAATTGTCAGGAAGGGAACTCATGGTATATATAGTCCATTCCAATTCACCCACTAGTTCAAGAATCAAATAGCTACTTGAGGACCTGAACAGCTCCATTATAAAAGAGTCATTCCAAAACAGCACTGGCCTAATGGACCACTGGTCTGTCTCTTGTAAAGCACTTCATGTTGCTAATATGATGAGCGTTCAAACACCATGCTGGCCAAGCCAACACCTTTTGTTTGTTAGTTTTTGTTTCTGGTACCTATGACACACAGTAAGCTGGAAAAGACAGATATAAGAGCTTCTCTTCATTAAGGAGAAATGCAAGAAACCCACCAGCTGCTTTCTCGGTAGACTTCTTCATGAAGTGGTCTAGAAAATGCCTCAGCAATAGGACTGCATGCACTAGCAAGAAGGAAAATTCCATCTACCAGGCTTCAAAAAGCTTAGAGAATGAAAGAAAAGAGCAGCTATTGGCTTCTAGGATGTCCCAAAGTTTTATGGATCTGTTTGGAAATACATGTTCAGCTCTACAAGCCACTACAACATGTATCCAGTCTAAGTTATTTGTGAATCTTCATGCAAGATTTAACCTGTGGACTCCATGCCAGAACGTCCGCAGAGGGAAAAAGAATCATTATCCCACATTTAGACTGCAAGAAAGTCTACTAACTAGACTTGTTTATTTTGATGCTCAATCAGTGAACAAGCAAGATACATGCACAAAACTTAAAGGGATTTTCACCTATGTTCAGCACTCCATTTGAATCATCGCTGCCAGATTCACCCACACCTAGAGAGTACTCCTTTTCATCCCCAGATTTTGTAACAACTTCCACTATTACACTTTTTCCCCAGTCCTGGTTTGTTCCACAATGCCATCACACATCAGGAGCAGTGCCACCATTTCTTCAATTAGTTTCTACTATACACTGGATAGAGTCAAGTACTGAAAGTCCATCTCAGTCCTATTTACCAATTCTGCAATGCTGTACAAATGTGCATGCACACACAAACACCCCCACCCCGCAAGAAGCCACCTTACTCTCAACTACTTGTGAAGAGGAAATGAGTATGCAGTAAATCCATTTCTTCTCTTTCTATAAGTTGCAAGAGGAAGACATCAGCTTTGTCTGCTACTTTTTCATCTGCCTTGAATATTTTTCTCATAGGAAAAACCAGTTGGCACACTTTAATATTTTCACTGTTCCAGATGCTTCTGAATTCTCTCATTCATGTAAATACTCCCACATTCTTTCACAATGAGGGGTATTTGAATCCTCCTTGAAAACAATTTTACTGTCAGGAATCTTGAAACATGTTCTACTCTTAAAAGTGTCAACAATTTTGATGAAAGTGTTCAGAAGTGGGCTGATGGAATGGTTGCAGAGCTCTCATGACCTGACACTAGCTTAATAAATATTGGCTTAGGTGTAGTGTTTTCAGTATCTTCAACAGTGTTGTGAGCTTCCCCAATTTTCTTCTGATAGCTGTCAGGAGCAGTTGAGAATATTGCTGGTACAGCAGGAAGTAATGTACCGGGATCAGCAAACATTAGAGGTTCATCAGCAGATGCAGATGAAAGCTTAGCTTTGAATGGTATGTCAGCAGGTGATGCAGTGGGTATGTCAATTAGCAAAGCCACTGCAGATAGTGAGAATGGTACAATATTGGATGTTATTGTAGAGAGTGTAGCAGAGAGCTTAGCTTTGCATCAGTCTTGCACTGATGTACTCATTCTAGAACAGCTGATTTACCAAATTTTTAGGTAGAAAGGATTTACAAAGAACTCAAAACTAAGTTTTCCAGTGTTTATAAACTGGAAAGGAGAACCTTGTGAGCTGCCTTGGATTCCTTGCAAAAAGAAAGTAACCCAGGATATAAATAGAATTTTAATAATTTGATGGGCCATTAAGATGCTGGAATGTTGAGAAGGGTTATTGTAATTGCTTTCTGTGGTCCCAGAGATAGCAACCCTGAAGGAGTCAGATTTGATCTGAAAACCTACACTTTTGCAGCAGATGTGGAGAACTGTGTTAGCTGCCTCTCTGAGGTCAGACAAATGACCCTGAAGGAGGAGGAAAAGGGCCATTGTGGGGGGCAGGGAGGGGAGACCTGAGAAACCAGTATACATGATACCCTGACCGCCACCAGCCTCATCCTGTCTAGTGAAAATCATGAGAAGACAAGATCTCCTTCACCATTCCTCCTACCCCACCAGCTTCACCCAGTAGGACACAAGAATCTCAGGAGCCTGAGCTCAGGGGTGTCTAAGCAGCAGGGACACAACTGATTGCACCTTAAGATCAGCAGAGAATGATTCTAAGAGTTCAAGTTCAAGAAATGCCACCTGGAGGTTACTTGGGGATAACTTTATATTTAGAAAACATCCAATAACGCTTTCCAGATTTCTTGCTGAAAGCATGTTGCAATAATCTTGTAAAACTTGGGAAAAGGAAAGCTTAAGAATAGCTTACCATGTCTGTGGTGACATGAGTTTGATCTTAAACAAGGCTTGACACACAGCAGCCCTTGGACCACTGCTGTGTTTACAAAAGCATCTTGTGCAGGTTCACCATAAACAGCTGTTTATCATTGTTAAAAGCAGGGAACAGATGGAAGAAAGTTTCAGAGGTGTATGTTACACAAGCAAAAACAGAGAAGACTGAATATCAAAAAGGTGAAATATGTCAAGATAAAAGGGGGAAGAATACTGAACTCTCATCTCTCTTTACAACTAGTGCTCACTTTCTAAAGGAGTAATACTAAGGCTAAAGCCTGCCCTGATGCCACTCCAGTGCTTTAAAAACACCTTAATCCCAGATACGCACAGCTCAGTTTTGGCTACTTGGGGATATTTTGCTAGGATATATTACAGAGCAACCCCTTCTTCATCATCATGCTCCAGGGCTATATGCACTAGCATTGGGAAAAAAAGGGTTTGGGAGCCTACACTCCAATGAGTCTGCCTCTGATCAAGCCCTAATTAAGATCCCCTCCCCCCCTTCCCATAACTTTTGTTTTGTATACCACCCATTGGGAAACGGGAAGATGCCTCAGACAGAACAAAAGAGTGGAAAAAAAGGAAGCTGGAAAGCATTTGGCTGTTGGCCTCCCTCCTCCCTTTCCCCATTTCCTGAAGTGATTGTTTGGCCTTTACAAACAGAATAACAGCAGGAAATAGAAAAACAAAACAGTTTGGCTGGTACAGGCCAAGCTTCCATACAAACCTATCACTGGAGGAACAGCTTGTACATGAGCAACCATAGGGTAATGTTGGTTCAAGTCAAGAGTAAGCCCAGGCTGCTAGTGTGGCCACTATTGTTTGTGCGGGATTTATGCACAACACACACACACAATTAATACAAAGCTTATAAAAGGCTGTATCATTGGGCAAACTGAGTACAGGATTTAGTGCCCTATGTTTCTAAACTGTAGGTTCAGACTCATCTTTAGTAGTAACTGGAAGTCATTTTTTCTATCTGACACTGAAGCTACTAGACATGGATGGAGTCTACATTGGTGATCCTTAAATCTTTCACTGAGGAATATCCCAACTGAATTCAGAGCTATAACTACAGATATTAGAAAGCTGCAGCCGACACAATCTGTGTGTGGATGCTACAGACATACATTACAAAAAGAGCCGGTACGGTATAGTGGTTAGAACAC